GTCAGACCAGACCTTGGTACTTGAGTTCTGACTAGGGATGCACTGAAAATATAAAATATCTTATGCTTATTACTCTATTTTAAACTTATAACAATTTAATTTCAATCGCATACAAAAATCTACCCTTTTACTCCCCCATATTTTTGTTTTTGTTGTCACAATTTATATTTTTTATATTGTGTCTCCATGTCCAAATTATTTTAGCTAGAGTTATTTTTAATACTTTTTTCTATTTTTTCCTCATGGAGTTTTACTCATTAAATTTATGATTTCAATATAATAAAAAATGTTGTGACAGAAAAAGAAAACACACAAGTAATAAATGTGTTAAACTCCTCCCTTCAGGCACTGAGTATTCAGTAAATGCTGAGTCATTGCTGTCCCATCATTGAGTCAGAGTTTACCTAAGATAAATCACACACAAAACAGTATTTTGTCATAATACTGTTTATTACAATAGCCAGAAGACTCAGCATGCAGGTTTAGGACGTGTCAAGACCCCTTCTTTCTACTGTAGGAATGTACCATCTCAAGACTGTTGTTTAAAAGATAAAGAAGTAAAAATGTAAAGAAAACAGAATGCAATTCCTTCATAAACTTTCTATGTCTCTTATTACCAATCACATATTCTTTGTAAATCCTGAAAAACTTCCCTTTAAAAAAAATTATGCATGTGTATGTGTGTATAGTGTGTGTGTGTGTATAATGTGTGTGGGGGGGGGAGGGGGGTAAAGGACACCAAAAAGGGCTGCTGGGACCAGGGACCTTCACCTTGGAGTGCACCTAGGTCACTTCACCAAGGGCAGCTTCAGTGCATCCCCACTGGGCCCACTGTCTTTACTGAGGGGCGCTGACAGCGTGACAGTTTAGAGAGTCTATGGCTGTTTCTAATTGAGAAGAATAAACTGGACAAACTTGCCCTCTTCCATCTTCCATTCTCTAAAACTAACCACAGTAGGGAGGTGTGACCTTGAACCCTGGAATGAGGTCTGGAGATGGCAAAGGAGAGGCAGTTGGACATAAAGAACCTGGACAGAAACATCAACCAGGCAAAGGATCCCAGGAGGGGAGAAGCCACTTTACAGAACAGGGGCTGCAGGAGAGCAGGTGACCCACCATGTCTTGGAGCCACCAGCTCAGCACTGCGGAAGTAAATGTGGCACCAAGGCCTGGAGGTGGCAGGGCCCTGGGGAGGACATCACTGAAGCGCTCTGATGAGGTACAGCTTCTCCCCATGCCCGCGGTGAGGATGAGGCCTTTTTGTAGTGTCCATCGTGGGAAACTGCCGCTGCCTGATGCAGTAGACTTTCTTCACAAGCTGCACCTTGTAATGTTCGTTCTTTCCTGATGCTTTGAGAGACACATGACAAGTCACTGGGCGAGGATTCGCTGTCCCCAATGAGGATGTCGCCCTCCGGCACCCCTCATTGAGGATGCACCTGGCCTGGTGGTGTGTTATTGCCATAGCACCACTCTCTGTCTGCAGAGCACCCGCTGCCCCTACCCCGGGTAGCTGATGTATGGGGCATGCAACGTGGACAGGGCAGGTCCATGGCTGAGCACCACCATGTAGTTGGGGGGGACAAGGCCTGCCTGCCCCCAGGCGTTTTTGCATTTCCACCTCTCCTGGTCATTCCCAGGCTTCTCGATGACCTTCACAGTCCCTCCCTTCTCGAACTTGACCTTCTCAGTGGCCAAGCTGAAAAGGTAAACTTTATGGCCCACATGCAGGACACAGGGAACAAGCCCTTCAGCAAGCTGAGTAAGGTTGGAACTTGGTGGCCAGCTTGCCTACATCCTCAGGATGTTGTTGAAAGGGAACAGGTCCAACTGCCTGTTGTAGCTGCCACATCACCAGCCATTGCTGCATGTCTCCATGGCAGTGACACATGACCCCTTCACCAGAAACAGTTCACCTAACCTCTCAGTCATGTAGGCAAACTTGACAAAGTCCAGGATGTTGAGGTCATAGATACGGTTGGCAACTCCCCCCTTGGCAGGGTACTCAGACTCATCCCATATTCTGGTCTTCCTCTTGGTATTGCCAAGGCTCAGTGTCTTCTTCAGGTTCTTCATGAGGAAACCCTTCTTCAGGCCATTCTTCCTCTCCATGTAGATAGATAACACCATGGCCTGTCCTGTTGGCCACCTCTTCACCTGCCACCGCGTCTTGGAGTCATTCAGCAGCCACATGTGCTGATTCATTTTGATGTTAATTAAGTTTCTGGTTCTATCAGGCAATTTAGCACCCCTACCCACCCACTCCCCCCACACACACTTAGCTATAACAGTGACTTCTGTCATCTTTCAGGAGTCCTTCTTGGGGTCAGTTAGGAAGGATAACTGACAAAACACAACTCCACAAAAGGTGAATTTTTTAACTGATTACACCTCTGAAGTTACAAAGCTGCAGGTGTTCCCCAAATTCTCAAATCCCACTCAAATCTCAGCAGAGAACTGTGATCTGGGAAATCACTTGTAAAAAGGAGCACACAAACTCTGAACCGTTTGCAGTGACAGGGGCCAACTCCACACATGTTCTCACGTGGTCCCTTAAGCTGTTACAAAGCTAAAAATTAAAATCAAATGCCTGATTATGAGCCCATGACCCCTGCATACCCCAAAGAATTTCCAAGGTCATCATACTGTCCTGCACCATGCCTCCATGCCCCCTGCACCAGCTCCCAGGATTTACTACAGTCTGACAACCC